AATAGCAACTTCCTCAGGACTTCCCTAGTGATCCAGTGGTTGAGACTCCAAGCTCTCAATGCAAGGGACAAGGGTTCAATTCCTGGTTGGGGAACTAAGATCCCATTTTGTTGCAAGGCATTATTGCCCCCACCCACCCCCCCAAAAATAGATCCTTCCTTGATGTCTCACTTTCACTCACACCTCAAGCCCACTCACATCTACATTCAATCACAAAGCCCTGCCCGATGTATCTGGAATCTGTCTGCTTCTCACCACATCCACTACCGTTATCCTACTCCAAGCCATCAGCATCTCCTACCCCCACAGTCTGGCCTCCCTACTTCGGTCACCTTTGTCCCTCCAAGCCATTCTCCACCCAGAAGCCAGAGTGATCCTTTTCAAAAATAAAGAAAGTAGATATATCATTCTCCTGCTCAAGACCCTCCAGTGGTCTCCAAGAGTTTTTTTTTGTGAGGGAGTAGAACTGCTTTACAATATTGTGTTCATTTCTGCTATACTATTAAGTGAATCAGCTATATATATATCTCCACTCCCTCTTGACCTTCCTTCCCACCTGTGTAGGTCACCACAGAGCACGAAGCTAAGCTCCCAGTGCTATACAACTGCTTCCCACTAGCTATTTTTCACAGGGTAGTGTGAATATGCATCCGTCTTAATCTCCCAGTTCACCCCACCCTCCTTCCCCTCACACATCCATTCCCTCTGTCAGCATCTCTATTCCTGCCCTGCAAACAGATTCATCTGTACCATTTTTCTAGATTCCATATATATGCGTTAATACACGGTATTTGCTTTTTCTTTCTGATTTACTTCTCATTCTGACTTGGGACTTCCTTGGTGGCTCAGATGGTAAAGAATCTGCCTGCAATGTGGGAGACCCGAGTTCCATCCATCTCTGGGCGGGGAAGATCCCCTGGAGAAGGAAATGGCAACCCACCCCAGTATTCTTGCCTGGAGAATCCCATGGACAGAGGAGCCTGGTGGGCTACAGTTCATGGGGTGGAAAAGAGTCTGAAAGACTGAGAGATATCTTATCTGATTTCCTTACTTTGCTCCCTGCAGATTTAAAAAGCAGAAGTAGAAAGATGGTAGAACTGAGAGTTTAGTTAGAACTGAGTAGTTTGTTCTACTAGCTAAACTGCTCTGCTACTAACTAAACTGTAGGAAAATTAAGTGCCTTCAGCCTTCTATGCTTTATTTGCAAAATGAAAGGGCTGTAGGTTTTTTAATATATACGAAATTCTAATATTCTGAATGCAGTATACAATTTAACATGCCCACCTCCGCTTACTCTAATTCTCCCTTTCAGTAAAATGTGTTTCATCAGTCCTGCCTCTAAGCACAGCTCCTCCAGCCCAAGGTCCACGCTTAGGAACACTCACAGAGATGCCTTGGTTTTCCTCTCACTATCATTTGTTCCCTTCAGGTAGAAAAGCGCTGGAAAGGAATCTCAGCCCTCCATCTGGGCAGCTGCGTCTCTGCTGTGGCAACTCTACAACCGGAAGGCATCCACACGAGACGGCGGAGCTCTGGCTGTGCCCTCAGATGGGCCATTTCACGCCACTATACATCTTCCAGTTGACACAAGACTAAAACCAACATCGCAGAGAAAAACCCAGCACAGACGGCGTGCTCTGGCCTCTGTTTAGTCCGAATGTTGACCCGGTGGTAATTTTTTTCCCTGTAGGATTTTAGGAGAGACTAAGTTTAACAGTGAGCATGACTCATCCCAGAAAGGAATACCATCTTCTAGGAGAACCAACTAAACTATACAAACTCAGTGTTTCCCATGAAATGGAAGGACAGAAATTAGTAAGGAACTCATACATATGTACGTGGTTTGAGAATAAAGGACTCCAGGCAGACAAGATCACTTTCCCATTTAGGTCCGTTTTTAACAACACGCTTTGATGGAAGCAGTAAGGAAGGGAGAACAAAGAAACAAACTGCAAAACCCTCACGCTCAGAAAGCCAGGAAAGGAAACCTCCTCCAAACTGCCTTAGGACAAATTCAGCAAATAAAGGAAAACCACTTAGCCATGCCCATGTCCCTTCCCCTAGCTCTATCAACAGCCAACTTCCCCTTCCGCCCTGGTATTCTCTGCGCTTCTGCACCACGGCCACAAACAGCCCAAGAAGTTGCTTATTTTCTTGTTCTACATTCAGAGTTTACCTGCTCTGGGGTTAGCGCCCTGCTTTTTTTTTCCTGTCCCCCACCCTTTATGCTTTTCTTTGATTCACCAGAATACTAAAATTTGAGATTTTTAAATCCAATCTATATGTTTTAAAAACCATAAAGTATTGTCATCTTATTGGGTCTACGAACTGAAAATAAATGGTAAGTCTATGAAATGCAAGATCTTACTTAAAAGAGCTAAAAGCAAATCTAAACTCTAGCCAGAGAGCACCAGTATTCCTGCTCCCCAGACTGACTCCCCTTCATTACAAGTTCTTTGCCCAGAGCCCTCCATCCGCCCTAGCCTCAGCCCATCCTCCTATGCCACCCACACCGTCCAGGGGCTCCAAGACAGTGGGCACCACAGCAGCCACTGGCCGGACAGCCCTGTTCAGAGGCCGGACGGAGCCACCACGTTAAATGAGGGCTGACTGCAAACAGAGGCTGAAGATCAGATGTGTACCTCTACTCATCTGCTGATAGCAGATTAAAAAAAAAGAAGAAAATCCCATTCTCTTATCACCAAATCTACGGAGGATTTCGTTCAGTCCAAAAAATGTCCGCTCAGAAAATATGCAGGAATATGTACACTTATGGCTGATTCGTGTTGTTTTAAGGCAGAAACCAATGCAACCCTGTAAAGCCATGACCCAATTAAAAACAAGTTAAAAAGAAAATATGCAAGGGCCACCTAATGCGGTCCTATGTTTGAAATATGTATTTAGTCCAAGGAGTTTTAAGACCCTGGAGACAGCTCAACTGGCCTTATCTTTTTTTTTTTTTAAACCAATAAAGCAAAATATTATCTGCCATCCTCTCACCTAAAAAGTCTACAGGAAAACCTGTTGGCTGAATTTACGTGGGCTCACAATCTTAAGGCTGAAGTTTGCGACTTCCTCTATGCACCTAGTAGCAGACAGTTTTTGAACTGTTGTCATGTGTATAGGCCGACCTTCACACTAGCCTGCCTTCTCTCTGGGGCAGGGACCCACCCTGGACTTACCCATATGATTGGGCATTTGGTAGACAACGCAAATATTTGCTAATTTGCCTTAAAATTGTTTTAAAGCAAATTTAGTTGCTTAGTTTTTTTTCGGAAGGAAAAAAAAAGTCAAATTGTCCCCTTACCTTTTTTAAAAAACTAGGAAAAAAAAAAACCTAGGAAAATATAACAGACCTTATTTGATAAATAAAGCAAAGAAAATTCCAATACGTTCTTTCTGAATTATAAGGAGGGCTGACTGATCATAGGGGTTTCCCCAGTGGCCCAGTGGTTAAGGATCCGCCTGCAATGGAGGAGATGCAGGAGACATGGGTTCAAACCCTGAGTCGGGAAGATCCCCTAGAGGAGGAAATGGTAACTCACTCAAGTATTCTTGCCTAGATAATCCCATGGACAGAAGAGCTTGGTGGGCTACAGTCCACAGGATCACCATAAGTCAGACATGACTGACCACAGGAGGAAGGACCTCTGTTCTCCACCTTCATTCTCTGCCCTTCCCCAATGCTCATCCCAGCACAAAATGTTCAATAAATGCCTCACAGCAGTGAATGTGTATAACTTACATGGTTAAAGGGAAAGTTCTGCCATCTTGGTCATTTCTACCATCCTCTCCGACCACCCCCCCACCCCCAGCCATTTCTAATTTTTCTTCAGCCCACAAACCAGTCACATTTCGAAGATATCCAGAGACACTCCAGCTCAAGAGTTAACTGTGGCCAGAACCCTAACCTCTTCTAAACTAAAAGCTGAAGTCCCAAAGAAACAGTTTCCTCCTTCAAGATAAGTGTTATCTTTCCAGCTGAGGATCCTGGAGTCTTTTTTTTTTTTAAACCTTCCAACACTGGTATCTGGGTGCACACACAAGACTTTGAGCAATGGGTTTGCAAATTAGAATGTCTATACATGCAACTGAACCACAGGCTTTAACCTTAACAGGTAAGTGCTAAAATAAATTCACTTCAAACATTTCACTTTGCACTATGAATGTGAACTTGAATAACTGCTGCTAATTTAGAACTGCAGTGCTAGGACGGGTGCCCTGATTCTCCTCATTCAAGCACCACACTGCCGTGTGTCAAAAGAGCAGAAAATGAATTTTTTCTTTGTTGAAAAAGATTTGAGTGTTTTGGTTTCGTCAAAAAGCCATCGTTGAATAACATTCTGTATTATATTTGTGACTCACTCTCAAATGTGATGTCACCACACCCCCACTCTTCTTTTGTAGATGGTAAATAAAATAAAACAGAAATTTAGTTTCAAAGTTTCTTACAATTTACAGGGAACAAATCTTTAAAAATTAATACTTTGCCTTCAACATTTTGACCTCTTGTTTTTATGGTTTGGATCTGAGGAAGAACTAACTGGGACAGAGCATGTATCAACCAAAACAGTTTTTTTCTTTATATTTTCTTTAATGAAGTCATGCCCCTGCCCCACAAAGTCAAAAATATCAAAGACAGCTCAAAACCTTTCTGGAACTTTCATGATAGAACTGTTCTCTGCCTTGACTGGGTTCTGGATCAGGTGTACACATTTTTCAAAACAGAGTAACTGTCCTCTAACCATCTCTACATTTTACTGTATGTAAATCATGGCTCAATAAAAAGATCTTTCAAGACCTCCCACAAATCACATTTCAATATCTGTCATGAGTAATCCACCTCGGACCTGAGTTTCCCATGTGCAACAAGATCCTAAAGCCAGGAAGGAATCTCCCTCCTCAAAGGCCACAGACACCCCTGCCCTGAAACCTCCAGAACACGACCCCTCAGGTCTTCCTTCCCGCAGGCATCGCCCCAGATATGAACCTCCACTCACCTCGACTGACTGAGAAGGCATCTTCAGCTTTGTGAGCTTGGCTTTGGCAGGCACTTTTAAGTCTGATTTCTCAAAGGTCTGCTGCCGGTACTCCTCCGGCAGGGGTTTCAGTTCGGGAGACTCGCTAGGAGCCTGGTCTTGACCGTCCATGGGCCGGACATAAGCCGTGGGCTTTTGCTGCATTGCAAGGCTTTTTGAGGGGAGGGAGGGCGGGGGGAAAGTCTGAGAAGGTGGCTGAGGAGGGGCCACCCCGAGGCTGGCCACTGCCACTGTGCCGTCTTGAGGGGCCTCCTTATCACACACCTTTACCGCTAGGTCCTTGGGAGACTTGGCCAGGCAGTAGCCCTTACTGCTGCTGCTGGGAACTCTGCCGCCTCCCTGCGTCCTGGGAGCAGCCTGCTGGTTGGAATGTACGGGTGACAGAGGGGGCACTGGGGAAGGCAAAGAGAAGAGAGGCGAAAGCTCCCTCTCCGGAGCGGAGTCTGTTGTCAGAGAACAGTGGTCCCCCTCAGCCCTGCGGTCACCCTTTTTGTGATGACTAGAGCCGTACCCCTCCTGACCGAGGCGCTCTTGGGTCAGGTGCTGGCTGTCCAGTGGGCCGTAGCTTTTGACATGGAGACTTGGCATTGGTTCCATTCTTGGCTGTGCCATCTTTGGGTGGTGGCCGATGCCAGCAGGAAGTGGTCCACAGGCAGGAGTGTTAACGGGCTGGTGGTGGACACTGGTGTGCAAGGAGTGGGGTGGAATGCTGCTCCCCTTCTCAGGAAATAAAGGGTATCTCGGCTTCCCCAGCCTATTTTCGGAAGCATCCAAGCGCTGGGGGTGGGACTTGCTACTGAGGAACTCCTTCATCTCTTCATAGTTTCCCAGCATGTTCTGTATCCGACTGGATAGCTCATCACCTTTCTCTGTCTGAAAAAAGAGAAAACAGCAGAGTTAGATACTAACGGACAAAGCAAGAAGGGAAATCACCATTTAGTAAACCACGTTACATAATGCCATTAGAAAAGAAACATCTCAATATAATGTGTAACACAGAATTTAACATGCAACTTCAACTCAACTCCCCTGTTGAGAAGCCTGCCATGGACAAATATTACTAAATACAGGACACGAACATTACAAAAGAAAACCACAAACTTTGATCATTTTGATTAATGAGGTTGAGAACTTTTATATTTTGTTTTCAAAAACAATCTCTAGGATAACTGTCTTATTTCCACAGTTGCAACCCTTGTTCAGACTCACTTTCAACACAAAGTCAAACATGCTGATAAATCGGACTTTTCCGTATTCAAGAAATACCTTGTATGGCTCTCCAAAAAGGGGGATCTTTTCAGAAAATGCCTCTTTATCTTGGTGAGCTTCCTGGTTGCGTCTTTCCTTCTCTTTAATTCGAAGCAGGTTTCTGTCTTCATTGTACAAGCTGCTTCAGACGCCACAAAAGAACAGAAACAAAGTTTATCAGTATCCAAGCCTTGCTGCGTACCCACGTTTGTGAGGGAGGCAAGGACAGCTCAGAAAGCTGTGACAACAGAGAGATAATTTAAAGAAAGCCCAAGGGACCTCCCTGGAGGTCCAGTGGCCAAGACTCCAAGTTCCCAATGCAGGGGGCCCAGTTCAACTCCTGGTCAGGGAACCAGATCCCTCATGCCGAAACAAAGAGCCTGCATGCCAAATAAATAAATAAAAACAAATACTAAAAAAAGAAAGAAAGAAAGCCCAAGTGTCTCATCCAGCTCCTAAATTAAGGCCACAGTCAACTAACTGGCTGTGACCCTCCAGCTCCGGTCCTGGCTCTGGAAACCTAAGCATTCATTTTGCCCGCCTGCCTTTGTGGCTCAGGGCTGACTCCAAACGGAACAGTCTTTTATAGTCAGTGGGGGAACTGAGACAAGATTAATGATATTTTTGCTTCCAGTCTGCAAAATACTAGGTAGAGGTAGAAGCTTTTCATCTGAAGAAGTCAGCAGGATGTGAACTTTAAAAAGGCTGTTTTCCTGGATCAGTATTGTACATTTTGGAAGATTAAAATCAAAGGGCTTATTTCATAATTAAAAGATTACCAGGCACCCAAAACAGCATTTACTTTCTTTTCAGCCCACTCTCCTGGAAGTGTCTTAGCATGTAAACCTGAAAAGATAATTTTTATTTCTCATTTCAAGTGTCAAGGATGGGAAAATCCGATTTTAGATGTCAGCTCTACCACAGAGAAACCTATAATCTGATGGCCGAACTTAAACCACATAAAAATGTATCCTAAATCATCAGCCCTGGCACCGAAGGGGTTAAGATCTGTCAAATCACAAAAAATGGAAACCCACAAGAGTGCAGTTTCCGTGTATAAACCAGAAGTGGGCTTGCCTTAGGTCAGAACTGAGGCCAGGCCATCCCAACCCCACACGTGATATGGAAGAATAATGAAAATAAGAACTGTTAAGAAGGGGCTTTCCCTGGTGGCTCAGGGGTGAAGAATCCACCTGCGAGGTTCAGGTGACATGGGTTCGATCCCTGACCCGGGAAGATCCCACGTGCCTCGCAGCAAGGAAGCCCGTGGACCACAACTACTGAGCCTGTGCTCTAGGGCCCGCGAGCCACAACTCCTGGAGCCCAAATGCCCTAGAGCCCGTGCTCCACAACAAGAGAAGCTACGGCAATGAGAAGCCCATGCATCACAGCTAGAGAAAAGACCATGCAACAGGGAAGACCATGCACAGCCAAAAAAAATTTTTAATTATTTGAAGAAAGAAAAAAAAAAAAAAACCACCATTGGAAGACTTCTGTCCTCATAGACATGCTTTAGCATATCTACTGAACCTTTCCCCCAGTTTATTATCTGAACAAATCTAAAAATATTCAGCTGTCTCTCCAAGGCACTATGGGCCTTAGAAATTCTAGCCTTGCTGTTGGACACCCTACCCTCCACTCCCTTTCTCGGCCTCTCTCAGGACTTCTCTGATTTTCCTGACCTGAGCCTACTTATTGGTCTCCCTGCCTCCCCCATGTTGCATCCCTCTAATTTAGCCTTCTCGTGGAAAGAAATCTGACCTAAGGCTCTGGTTAAGTGTTCAACGGCTCTTTGCTGCTACAGAATCAACTCTCAACCCTTGCTTTGGCATTAAAAACTCCCCCATGATCTAGATCGACCCCAAAAATGACCTCATTGCCTGCCAGCTGGCCCATCATGTGCATTCTACCTGACAGCCATGTCCATTTCCCAAACACATCTGGTCAAGGGCACCCCCCTGTTCTAGTGCCCCCAACCCCAGAACCCCCTTTCACTGAAGGATAACCATTCTTCCATGACCCGTGTACCCACAAAGTATGATTCTCCTACAAATCACCTCTATATTCCAGGCACACCAGCCTACTCCTTGCTTCTCAGTGATATTGCAAATTTCGATGCTTTCATTTTCATTATATGAATTTCTTCTGCTTCTCTCTCAACCACATACACTAGCCCCAATTTCCAACTACCAGTAACTATCTGGAGTGACTCCAATTTCACCCACACTCAAGGCTTCCTCCAATCCACCTGATGATACATCATGTGGTTCTCCCTCTCTTTTCCCCTTTCCCCATGAAAAGAGGAAGACCCATCAGAACAGAACCTCTCATATTTTTCTGTCTCCTGGTGCTAATGCAGAGCACTCTGCATAAAAGCCAAACAATTTTTTTAATTTAAAAGTAGTCGCTAGGCTTAACAGTGTATTACTTCTAATTTTTAAAATATAACTCTGAAAGACACGTGTAAGAACAGTGTTTAAAAAATTATAATCACTAAAAAATGACTCTGCTATTTCAACCTATAGGTTGGGGGAGGGGAATGGCATGGTAGAGGCTGACCTACCCAGCTGAATTCACTGGGATGCAGTCAAGAATACCTGCTTGGACTACGACAGAACAAACTTTTCCTCGATGATGGGGTATTTTAATATCAGATTTTAAGAGGACAACAATGTGACCATTTATGTGAGTCAATGTACTAAAAATGCTGAGGGGAAACTAAACCAAAAACTGACTTATGGAGTCTTCTTTAACGAGAATCTGAAACTCACACACTTCAGACAGACTTATTTCTGGGTGACAGCAGTGCAGTGGACCTGTTGACCACTCCAGAATTCCTGCAATGGTTTTATGATTTTGGTGATCCTTGTTGGCTGAAAAACAAGGAAAAGAACCACGTAGCATTAACATCCAACTATGGGAGCCAAGTTTAAGAGGGTTGATGAGAAAGCAGCTTTTCCTTCAAACTTGCTTCACGGCCACTTTGTTTTTGCAGGGAGGGGTGGGGCATAACACAAGTCCTCGATGCAACTTGAACTCCCAAGCTTCTCTTCTGCAAAGCTACCTGGTACAGACACCCCACACGGGCGCATGGAGAAGGGGACGCAGCTCTGCAAGGGTGTCTGCAAGGTTCTCCCCTGTCTGATTCTGCTGGTTACATGACTGGAGTTTCTAGAGCCTGATTTGTTTATGAGTGTTCACAGCCCATGGCTCTGTTAAAAGAGCTCTGCCCACTTCTGAGTAACTGCTTCCTTTCTTAAAAAAGGGAAACCTAAATGAAAAAATTCTCAGTCCTGGATTAAACACTGAGCATGTGCAATACCAGTGCCTTAAATAGTAGGCTGCTCAGGGTCCTTGCTGAAGTTTCCTGTCAATTGCATGCACGTGAAGACAAGCTACACTGGTTTACAGTTACAAAAGTATTTTAAATTGATCATTAGGGGTTTTACCATGCTTCTAGATTTTTATTCCAAAATAATACAAGCTGCTACATAATGAGAAGAAGAACCCACTTTTACAAAATTTCAAACACTGGCTCGTGACTCAAAAACTGAGGCTCATATCTCCTACCAGGAAGAAATTCTACTAAAGATTCTGCTTAGTTAAAGGTTTTACTTCATTAATTAAAAAAAAAGAAAAGTTCAAAAGCCACACCCAGATTTCACTGGCAGACATATGTAATCTTAGAGCAATTTTTTTTTTTTTTCCCTTTAGGCTTTTAAAAGACTTTATTGGGCGCTTTTTTCCCCCCATGTCAGTTTTGAGATGAACTTTGAGTATTTTTTTTTTCTTATTCACCATTACCCTTCAACTAAGAAACCCAAAATAGTGAGGTGGGGAAAAGCCATCCCAGGTGTCACCAGTAGGATGAGTTTTATGAGGTCTAAACTTGGTGAGAGAAAACTCACTCTCACCCACACTGTCTGCTGGGCAACTCCCTCTTGGGTCTTGCTCACCAAGGCCCCTGGGCAGGGCAGAGGAAGGCAGAAGAGACACGAAGTGACCAGTCCAAGCCCCAGGACAACACAGGGTAAACTGTGAGCCCTCATTTCCTCTAGAATGTCTACTTTCTCGTAACTAACAGGATTTTGCCAGTCATACCGGTGGCTTTCTGGTTTACTTGGCTTTTACTTATTAGGTTTGCAGCTGGAAAAGACACTGATGCTGGGAAAGACTGAAGGCAGAGGGAGAGGGGGCAGCAGAAGATGAGATGGTTGGATGGCATCACTGAGTCAATGGACGTGAACTTGAGCCAACTCCAGGAGATAGTGGAGGACAGAGGAGGCTGGAATGCTGCAGTCCATGGAGGCACAGAGAGTCAGACAAGACAGTGACTAAACAACAACAAAGTTTCCAGTGGCTTAAGGAATGATTTGTTAAAGTCATCGTGCACATTTTCTCATGAATATCTCCTTTTTCTTGGTTTCCTGTTGAAATCAGGGGAAGTTTACATTTTAAAAACATTAACTCAGTGAGTAGCATGAGTAAACCATTGTTCAGCATCTTACACATCACTGGTTTTAAACCAAGGTGCAGCAAGGAGGGGGTGGATGGAAGAATTTTAAATGAGGGGATTTTAGGAAGCAGTAAATGTCCTACGTGATTCATAAACTCTGTAATTACCTTTGAATAATTACAAGTTGACTACCATTTCTCTTAATTAAAGGTGGCAGTTTTTCCTCTGGCATGAAGAGGGGGAGGGGGGCGGGGAATGCATTCTTGCTCTCACAGCATCACTTTATCCTTACATCAGTCTTGTTAGACTTGATCACTATTCACATCAAGTGCCTTACAGCTGGTCCTTCGTGTCTGGAGATGAGGAACTCTCAGTCTTGGAGGGACCGTAGGAGGTCATTTCCTATGAGGGACTTGAGCACCCGGGGATTTTGCTGTCAAAGGAGGTCTCGGCACCACGCCTAGCAGACACCAAGGGACGAGTTCCCCTTCACTGATTTCTTCACAGCTCTCTGCATTAGACAAGAGGTACTCAAACTTCAGTGAGCCTCAGAAGCACCAGGAGGACTTGTTCAAACCCAGACCTCAGAGACCCGCCCCCAGAGTTTCTGATTGAGTCAATCTGGTGTGGCACCTGAAGTCTGCATGTTGAACAAGTTTCTACGTGGCTCTGGAGAGTATGAG